CACAGAATGCACACGGGCAGTGTTCTCGTGCCTGCTTCTCACACACAGAATGCACACTGGCAGTGTTCTCGTGCCTGCGTCTCACACACAGAATGCACACTGGCAGTGTTCTCGTGCCTGCGTCTCACACACAGAATGCACACTGGCAGTGTTCTCGTGCCTGCGTCTCACACACAGAATGCACATGGGCAGTGTTCTCGTGCCTGTGTCTGACACACAGAATACACACTGGCAGTGTTCTCGTGCCTGCGTCTCACACACAGAATGCACACGGGCAGTGTTCTCGTGCCTGCGTCTCACAGAATGCCCACGGGCAGTGTTCTCGTGCCTGCTTCTCACACACAGAATGCACACTGGCAGTGTTCTCGTGCCTGCGTCTCACACACAGAATGCACACTGGCAGTGTTCTCGTGCCTGCGTCTCACACACAGAATGCACACGGGCAGTGTTCTCGTGCCTGCGTCTCACACACAGAATGCACACGGGCAGTGTTCTCGTGCCTGCGTCTCACACACAGAATGCACACGGGCAGTGTTCTCGTGCCTGAGTCTCACACACAGAATGCACACGGGCAGTGTTCTCGTGCCTGCGTCTCACACACAGAATACACACTGGCAGTGTTCTCGTGCCTGCGTCTCACACACAGAATGCACACTGGCAGTGTTCTCGTGCCTGCGTCTCACACACAGAATGCACATGGGCAGTGTTCTCGTGCCTGTGTCTGACACACAGAATACACACTGGCAGTGTTCTCGTGCCTGCGTCTCACACACAGAATGCACACGGGCAGTGTTCTCGTGCCTGCGTCTCACAGAATGCACACTGGCAGTGTTCTCGTGCCTGCGTCTCACACACAGAATGCACACAGGCAGTGTTCTCGTGCCTGCGTCTCACAGAATGCACACGGGCAGTGTTCTCGTGCCCGCGTCTCACACACAGAATGCACACGGGCAGTGTTCTCGTGCCTGCGTCTCACACACAGAATGCACACGGGCAGTGTTCTCGTGCCTGCGTCTTACACACAGAATGCACACGGGCAGTGTTCTCGTGCCTGAGTCTCACAGAATGCACACGGGCAGTGTTCTCGTGCCTGCGTCTCACACACAGAATGCACACTGGCAGTGTTCTCGTGCCTGCGTCTCACAGAATGCACACGGGCAGTGTTCTCGTGCCTGCGTCTTACACACAATGCACACGGGCAGTGTTCTCGTGCCTGAGTCTCACAGAATGCACACGGGCAGTGTTCTCGTGCCTGCGTCTCACACACAGAATGCACACGGGCAGTGTTCTCATGCCTGCGTCTCACACACAGAATACACACGGGCAGTGTTCTCGTGCCTGCGTCTCACACACAGAATGCACACGGGCAGTGTTCTCGTGCCTGCGTCTCACAGAATGCACACGGGCAGTGTTCTCGTGCCTGCGTCTCACACACAGAATGCACACTGGCAGTGTTCTCGTGCCTGCGTGTCACAGAATGCACACGGGCAGTGTTCTCGTGCCTGATTCTCACAGAATGCACACGGGCAGTGTTCTCGTGCCTGCGTCTTACACACAGAATGCACACGGGCAGTGTTCTCGTGCCTGCGTCTCACAGAATGCACACGGGCAGTGTTCTCGTGCCTGATTCTCACAGAATGCACACGGGCAGTGTTCTCGTGCCTGCGTCTCACACACAGAATACACACGGGCAGTGTTCTCGTGCCTGCGTCTCACACACAGAATGCACACGGGCAGTGTTCTCGTGCCTGCGTCTCACACACAGAATGCACACGGGCAGTGTTCTCGTGCCTGCGTGTCACACACAGAATGCACACGGGCAGTGTTCTTGTGCCTGCGTCTCACACACAGAATGCACACGGGCAGTGTTCTTGTGCCTGAGTCTCACAGAATGCACACAGGCAGTGTTCTCGTGCCTGCGTCTCACACACAGAATGCACACGGGCAGTGTTCTCGTGCCTGCGTCTCACACACAGAATGCACACAGGCAGTGTTCTCTTGCCTGCGTCTCACACACAGAATGCACACGGGCAGTGTTCTCGTGCCTGCGTCTCACACACAGAATGCACACTGGCAGTGTTCTCGTGCCTGCGTCTCACAGAATGCACACGGGCAGTGTTCTCGTGCCTGATTCTCACAGAATGCACACGGGCAGTGTTCTCGTGCCTGCGTCTTACACACAGAATGCACACGGGCAGTGTTCTCGTGCCTGCGTCTCACAGAATGCACACGGGCAGTGTTCTCGTGCCTGATTCTCACAGAATGCACACGGGCAGTGTTCTCGTGCCTGATTCTCACAGAATGCACACGGGCAGTGTTCTCGTGCCTGCGTCTCACACACAGAATGCACACGGGCAGTGTTCTCGTGCCTGCGTCTCACACACAGAATGCACACGGGCAGTGTTCTCGTGCCTGCGTCTCACACACAGAATGCACACGGGCAGTGTTCTCGTGCCTGCGTCTCACACACAGAATGCACACGGGCAGTGTTCTCTTGCTGGTTGTTGTCAGGCTGTAAAAACTGCAGCTGATTTTTACCTTTTCATGAAAGAAGTCTGCTTTGCTGTGGGCTGGGTTCATTCTGGGATTTAACACCGTCAGAAAGAAAACAGAGAACCTTTGGGTTGTAGGACAGAGGTGGGGCCCACCTGGCACCTGGACTCCTTGTTACCTTTGTCTCTGGTGTGGAGGAAGAGCGATGGCATCTGTTGGACAGAGGAGTTTGTTTTTCATGGATGACTTGTTTGGTCTGCCTTCCTGGGCCAACGTGCAGAGTCTGGAGGGCTCCAGCAACCCCACTGGGGTCTGGACGTCCCCTCGATGGGTTCTCATAGCTTGGGTCTAACCCTGGTCATGTTGGATTTCCATTCCTCCTTGCCTTAAGGTCGTTTTTTGTTTGTTTGTTTGAGACAAAGTTGCACTCAGGTTGAAGTGCAGTGGCACAATCTCGGCTCACTGCAACCTCTGCCTTCTGGGTTCACGCAATTCTCCTGCCTCAGCCTCCCGAGTAGCTGGAATTACAGGCACTCACCACCACACCCGGCTAATTTTTGTTTTTGGTTTTTTATTAGAAATGGGGTTTCACCATATTGGCTTGGCTGGTCTTGAACTCCTGATTTCAAGTGATCCACTCACCTTGGCCTCCCAGTGAAGGTGTTTTATGACCATTCTTTGACCCTCTTCTCTGACTCAGGGCATCCCTCCCCCACTCAGAGACCACCATCAAGGGTCAAGGGTATAACTAGTCCCAATTCTAAACCGAGAGGCCAAAGGTGCCGGCCAGGTAGATCGTGCTTTTCCTTCCCACACCTGTTGGGTCTTTGAATCCTTTCTTTGGTGCAGGCTTTGGAAATCCGCATTGTTTTCTGTGAGAGGGTCCTTTTCCTACCGTGCCCAGGTTGAACTCTGTCTGCCTACCTGGCTGGCTGGGAAGGGGTGTGTGTTTATGGTCTCTGTCCATCACGAGGTCCAGCCTGTTGTTGGCAGTTTCTCTCCTGACCCTGAGCTGGTGTCCTCAGCGCTTTCCTCCCCAAGCCTCGCCCCGAGTGTCTCCTGTCTCTCTCTGGTTTGGATGCAATGCCCATGAGTTTGCACGAGTGCACAGGTATCCCCCTCACCCTCAGGGAACAGCTTGCAGGACTCTGCGAACTGGTCCGTTTACCTACTTTTGGGGACCTTGTGATAAGCAGTGTCTTCCTGAGTGCCCCCTTTCTCAGTATGGACGTCAGAGGCCCCATTCTTTCAGTCTCGGCAGAAGCGTGTGTTAAGGTCCTACTGTGTGCTCCCAGTTACGTGAGCTACTATTTAGAAAGGCCAAACTGGAAACCAGAAGTTCAGCAGAGGTGGAAGAGTAGACACGAAAGACTAGGAAGGACATAGACAGCGCACACACACGCAGGGGATGTGTTGTGGTGAACCAACCTCTGCGTGTCTTTGTGTAAGCGGCAATGGCGTCGGGCAGTGCGCTGATGGCCTGGCCAGTTCTGACAGGATCCCACACCAACCGTAATTAGGACTGAATAAACTGCTGAAACAGGGGCTTAAGGCTCAAGGTGAGTTCGAAAGCCATGAGGATCAAAAGAGATGGCTTCATGCTAAAAAGCGGACAGGCAAGAAATTAAAAATATAGTCTCAAAGGTTGAATGTTGCCTTTTAACTGTGCTTAATTTCATATTCATATCCTGAGCGTCTGTCTGAAGTAGGCTGGGTTGATATAGCGAAGGCATAAACATATCTACTCCCAGTGAGGGCTTCTGCAAATCCTGTTTTGATAAGGTCTTAAATCTGTTGAGATCAGGCCATAAAATTCTCCTGCAGTTTCAGCAACAGGTAAAAACAGTGCTCAGTGCTTTTTGTCCCTTTTAATTTTGCATTCAGACTATGTAACCTCCATCTGTAAATCTTAGCCCCCCTCCCACCACCTGGGGAAAAATATGGGCAACATGTGGTGTGTTGAGCAACATTTCAAGTGTAAATATTAAGCTTGGTTGGTAAATTTTAATTTACCTTTTAATAATTTTCTGACTTACAGGGACTATTTTTAGCAGACGAGAGCTTAGAGATTTTGTGAAAAATATGTTGTAATAACTGCAAACGCCAGACTAGAGTCATTTGTATGAGAAAATAAGTTCCTCATCGGTGGGCATTGCTTTCCTAGGTGATATGTGGAATTTTGGCCCATGGATGACTGGAGGTTTTTGCTAATGTGATTAATACCGTTAAATTACTTACAGAATGCCAACTAAATGCATACAAATGTTCCCTGAAGATGAGCTCTATTAAGTTTACTCTCCATTTCAGACAGCAGAATCCCAGGTTGCTATTTAATTTCAGAAAATTCTGTCAGCAGGTGGCTGTTGGCGGTGGGTTCTGGGTGTGAACTCTGACGGTCACTGATGGTGCTGAGGTGTCAGGAAGCTTGGGAATTAACAGGCAGTAAAGAACCAGCTGGCAGAACGTCATTGGTCCTTAAACTCTTCTGTGATTTGCTGTTGATACAGAAATCTATCCTTTGAAGATGGCCTCTGAATGGAAATGTACTCTGGAAAAATCCCTTACTGATGCTGCCAAGTGTCCTCTTCCAATGGAAGTATTTAAGGTAAGATGTCGATTCTTAGCAAAGCATCTATCTACGCTTTTTGATAACAAAACCGCCTAAAACGTTTTCCACAGCAAATCCTTTCCCACTTGAAAAAGGCACCTTCTTAACCAGTTTACATCTTAAATGTTTAAGGTTTGATCTGTTTCATGTTGCTGTTTTTTTAAAATAATCTTCATAATGACCTATATTACAGGATGTGATTAAAATTGTTTAGGTTTATTGTTTTTCTTTGCAGAATATTGTTAGGGAAATATTTTCACCCCCTCACTTTCTACCTCAGAAACAAAGGAAATCGAGCAAGTCGTAATTTTGATGTTTGGTAAAAATGACAGAAAATGATGCATGCCGTGGTTCAATTTTCTTCATGTCCCGCGGTTCTGCTGAGTACTAGACCTTCCGCCAGGCGCTCGCATGAAGATGAAGAGCTTATGATATGCATCTCCACTGAAACGGCCACCAAATTCTTTACACTTCAAAAATTATACTTCACACTTATATGAAAGAGGATATTAGGTTCTGGACAGGGCTGTCCATTTAGGTCCATCCAAGGAAATCATAAAACAAGCCTGTCATATTTGGAACTCAAGTGTGGGTGGTGAGCCCACACCATTGGTGGCCTTGGACAGTTCTCAGTGTGGTTGTGACGGACGGACATCCAGCTGCTTCCCAGCCCTGGGGTGGCACGCGTCTGCAGAGGCATAGAAGTTTCATGTAGAAGATGGACTTAGTGTGTTTGGGTACCGGGCACAGCAAGAGTTTAAGGATTCCGTAGGGGTCGTGGCTTCCTGGATTCTGCTGACACCCAAGTCCTGTCGGCCTTTTAAGCAGTCGTGGCAAATCATTGACCCTTTCATTCAGAACTTCCCGTTTGTAAAATTGGACTTATTAAGACCTCCTCCTCAACTTAGCCGTGTAAATGAGCTCTGATGTTTCATGGAGTGATGATTTTTACAGTGTTCCGGGGTCTCTCGTACTGGGGGAACCGTGAGTGTATCACCAGGAGCGTGCTATTAACTGACAGGGAGGCACTGTTGTGAACTTGTTGCCTCACTGACCAAATCCTCCTCTCTCCCCCTCTTTGTCTTCCTCCTCCTCTCCTTCAGCAGAAGCAACCTTGGTAACCCCGCACCTTCTTGAGATTAGCTCACAGACCAGGTGCAGTTGCTCAGACCTGTAATCCCTGCCCTTTAGGAAGCCGAGGCAGGAGGATGACTGGAGCCCGGGAGATCACTCCTGCCTCGGCTTCCTCTTCTCTCCCTTTTCTTCCTTCAATCCTGTCCTCCCCTTACAAAAAGGATCAAGAAAAACAGCCTTCAACGTTGGACCTGTCGGCTCTGTTGCCCCACCCGAGCCAGCCCGTCCTCGTCACCTGCTCCCCTTTATCTTCTCCGTGGCCTCAGTCATATTTGAACGTGAATCAAATCCAATCAATCCTTCACCCTTGAAAAAATAGATTTTATTTTGAAGTACTTTATACATACATGTGAGGAGTTCAAGGAGTGAACCAGTGAAAAATTACAGATGTCCGTCCTGTGCTCTAAGCCTCAGAGCTGCCAGAACAGCGAAGCCCCCTCTGCAGCCCCAGGCCTGCCTTCCTGTGGGACTGGAGCACCTGGGGCCTCACTGCTGTGGGAATCCTGCCCGGGTATGCCTTCCTAAGCAGGATCCTGATTCCAGTTGGCAGGACGGGAAGTGGGCACCGTCCTCTTTGTTCAGAGAGGGCCCTTTCCCTGCTCTGAAGAGGGAAGAAAGCTGGATGTGGTTTGGGCACCAAACTGGCTTCGCTTTTCTTCAGAGTCAATGAGAGGATTCCGTAGGTAAAGTTGTCAGCTAATCTCTTTTGTTTTTTTGGTTTTTGGAGAAAGGGTGTCAATCAGTCACCCAGGTTGGAGTGCAGCAGGGTGATGGTAGCTCACAGAAGCGTCAAACTCCCAGTTTCAAGCACCCCTCCTGCCTCAGCCTCCCAAGTAGCTAGAATCACAGGCATGCCCCAGCACACCCAGCTAATGGATCAGTTTGTTCTCATGCTGCTGATGAAGACATACCTGAGACTGGGTCATTTATAAAGGAAACAGGTTTAATTGACTCACAGTTCAGCAAGGCTGAGGAGGCCTCAGGAAACTTACAATCATGTCAAAAGGGGAAGCAAACACGTCATGTTTCACATGACGGCAGGAAGGAGAGTAAGAGCTGGATGAAGGGAGAAGCCCCTTATAAAACCACAAGATCTCAAGAGACCATACTCACTATCAGGAGAATAGCATGGGGAAAACTGCCCCTGTGATTCCATTACATCCCACCGTGTTTCTCCCATGACAGTGGGAATTATGGGAACTGTAATTCAAAATGAGATTTGGGTAGGGACACAGCCAAGCCATATCAGCTAATTATTAGGTTTTTTTTTTCTTTTTTGTACAGATAGAGTCTCACTGTGTTGCCCAGGCTGGTCCCAAACTCCTGGGCTCCAGTGCCTCGGCTTCCTAAAGTGCAGAGATTACTGGTGTGAGCAACTGCACCTGATCTGTGAGCGAATCTTAAGAAGATGAGGGTTACTGCAGTTGCTTCTGCTGAAGTTGTAACATGAACTGGAGGTCACATGCCTCAGAAAGGTGGGCAGGGGTCAGTTGGTTCATGTTTTCTGATTTTACAGCTTAGTTCTCAGGAGCAAGCTGAAGTTGAGTGTTTCTTTGTAGTGAAGTGAATGTTCTCATCTTGTCCAGGCAGCTGGGCCAGGAGTAGGACTCAGGAACCTCTTTGGTGTAGTCAAAATAAGCTGAATATTGTTAACAGTCTTGGCTGGCTCACTTTGGCATCCTATCCTTAGGTTGCAAAGATGATAAAATGCTGTCTACATTTTCTCACTAAAAGTGGCTAAAAATGTCTATCCTATCAGTGTACTTTATTGATAATTTGTGTGGGTGTAGAATTTTAGGTGAGCTATCATTTATCTCAGGATCAGAGGTTTTGGCTAGGGTGTGGTGGCTCACACCTGTAATCACAGCACTTTGGGAGGCTGAGGTGGGCAGATCATTTGAGGTCAGGAGTTCGAGAGCAGCCTGGCCAACATGGTGAAACCCTGTCTCTACTAAAAATACAAAAAAATTATCTGGGCATGGTGGTACGCACCTGTAATCCCAGCTACTTAGGAGGCTGAGGTAGGAGCATTGCTTAATCCTGGGAGGCAGAGGTTGCAGTGAGCTGATAGTGGACCACTGCACTCCAGCCTGGACAATAGAGCAAGACTCTGTCTTAAAAGAAAAAAAGGTGTAGGGGATGATTAGAAAGTAGTGGTCAGCCCCTGGAGGGTGACATGTGAGCCACTTCCTGTCCTATAGTTTTTCCTCTTTGGCTGGTTTCCCAGGGAGAGTTTTTCAGTCTCCCAGTCTCCCACTTGGGCCTCCAGGTCTGACTGCCAGTGTTTTAGGAGTCACGTGGGGTGAGGAGGGCTGGGGTGTTGGCCTACACTGTTGGTTCCTGCCCTAGTCTCTTTAGAGAAGGCTGAGACAGGGCTCAGGGAGACTGTGTAGGGGTCTCACTGCTTCTGCTTCCTAGTCACCTCCCCACGCTTATATGTTAAGCTCCTGTTGACCCCCAGTGTCGGACATATCTGGTGGGACTCGTTTCTGAGCCTTTCAAGGCTTCAGCAGGAGTGACTGTGTTGGTGCTCAGCTTTCCTGCTGAAGGCCTGGGATTTGGCTTTGCTGAATGTGTTGAATTCCTCACTTCTTCATCAGCTTTTTTTGCTTCCTCACCTTTGTGTGCTGAGTAGGTTTGTGTTTTTTTTTTTTTTAAGTCTCTGGACTGTAGTTTTGGTTAGAGTTTAGGAGGAGGTGAAATGAATGTGGGTTTTTTAACCTGGCACTGCCATTGAAAAGAATCTTGTTGTTTGGACTCTAGGATACAATCAAGCCACCATATCCTTCCTGGACACACTGAGCCTGGGGGGATTTTTCACGTGCTTCCCTGTGCAGAGTCTCCTTCCATGCCCCTCCTCGCTGTAGCAGGAGGTGCAATTGTTCTGCTTCTCTAACGCCCTTTGTACCTTGATATGGTTTGGCTCTGTGTCCTCACCCACATCTCATCTTGTGGCTCCCAGAATTCCCGCATGTTGTGGGAGGGACCCCTTGGGAGATAACTGAACCATGGGGGTGGGTCTTTCCCATGCTGTTTTCTGGTGATAGTGAATAAGTCTCAGGAGATCTGATGGCTTTCAAAATGGGCTTTTCCCTGACAAGCTCTCTTCTCTTGCCTGCTGCCATGGGAGATGTGCCTTTCGTTTTCCACCATGATTGTGAGGCCTCCCCAGCCACGGAGAGCTGTCAGTCCAATAAGCATCTTTCTTTTGCCAATTGCCCAGTCTCGGGTACATCTTTATCAGCAATGTGAAAATGGACTAATACGTACCTGTTTTGTTCTTTCTGTTAAAGTTGTACTCGTTTTTCATTCTCAAATATAGATTCCCTAAAGGAATCCTTCCTCAGAGTGCTGGCCCCTGTGACCTTGAGCCTCTGTGAGGCATCCTTCAGCAGCTTGTCCTGTTAGTTTCGCATAATCATTTGTGCAGTTCCTTGTATAATGCCTGTCTCTTTTTGCCTAACTTTAAACTCCAGGAAGCCAACGACTGTGTCTTTCTTGTCTGTTCTTAGGAACATACTTTCTTGACCATAGTAGGACTCAGTAAATACCTATCAAATAAATGCATGAATTCATATGTCTTCAACGAATTTAATTTTTTTTTTTTTTTTTTTCGGAGATAGTCTCACTCTGTCACCCATGATCTCGGCTCGGCTCCCTGCAACCTCTGCCTCCTGAGTTCAAGGGATTCTCCTGCCTCAGCCTCCTAAGTAGCTGACATTACAGGTGTACACCACCAGGCCTGGCTATTGGTTTTTTTTTGTATTTTTAGTAGAGACGAGATTTCACCATGAGGGCCAGGTTGGTCTTGAACTCCTGAACTCAAGCAGTCCACCCACCTCGGCCTCCCAAAGTGCTGGAAT